CTCTATATTTTATCTGTTATTTTTCACTAATGAATCTGTCTGTGTTTGGTCAATTTGATCAATCTTGTGCCACCATAAAAACAAATTAGGGAATAAATATAAATTATGCTTGTTGTAGTGTTTGTGGTTTTAATTTCTTTTCAGTGGCAGTACCTATGAGGACAACATGAACCTAAATCAGGTCGATGGAAGCCTTGGTTTGCTAGCACATGCTAGGGGCCGTCCTCAAGAGGTAATGCATAGTTCTTGGTTTATTTTTGTATTTTACAGTATTAGTTATGCTTTATCAAAACTACTTTATATACATTTATTTCTTGAACTCCTTGTTATCTTAAGTTGTAAATTTGTATAACATATGTTAGTGTTTTATATTAAAGTTATTGTTACTTTATTATTATTATTAAAGCATTTCTTAACAAAAACATTGACAGTCATTACTTATTGTTTTCTTACATTTGTTTTTCATGCATACATTATTCTATTGTACTAGGGATTATGGTACCAATTCTTATTTACATGTTATTAGAATTATGGATTGAATAATAATCTGCTAAGTCTTTTGTGCTTCATGATGTAGTATCTGGGAAACTTGTATTTGTTTGCTTTTTTCTTCCTGAGTAGATTGATGCTCAAAAGTAAGGTTTCTCAATTTCTGTATCCAGAAAGATTTTATCATACAGCTTCAATAATTGCTTCCAGTAATATCATGGTTAATGTAGTCACAACTCTCCTTGTGATTTGGCAATGTAATCTAAGGGTTTTGTATAATTACAATTAACTCTTGACTGTTGTATAATAAATTAACAGTATTATAGAATGTTGTTGCCAGTGAGTAGAATCTGTATAATAAGATTCAGTGTGTATGTCGTGTAACTCTTCCTAAACTGCAGGTTGCACTGACATCTAGATGGTGCCAAATGAACTGTCTTTGCTCTGAGGTTTGCACTAAGGTAAAACTTTTCTCCCAACCCCTTAGGAAACAGATATTTTTTTCACAAACACTTTTACAGGGATTCCCCAAAAAATGGACTACAAATTTAGCATTGATTTATATTAGAGTATGTAAATAAGTAGGCCTACTAATTATTGTTCATAACTTGTTTAAAGAATTGAAATTTGCATTATAGCAACAAGAATCTTTAAACATGGAAAAAGTGTAAAAATAGTACTTCAGGCATTAAATCTGCAATATAGCGGCTTCGTAAATGTGAGCCATAGGCCAACAGTTTTGCTAGTCTTTAACGTGAAAATTTATGATGACAGTCATTAAAATACCTTTGCAGCCTACTGTTTCCTAAGTTGCTTTTTAAATTTTTCGGTACTTAATGAAACATAACTTAATTATCCTTATATAATAACAAATTTATTGTTTTTCTTAATGGGAAACTTGTAACGTGTATAACAACTTTTCCTTCTAAGTTTAAAAAGACAACTAGACAAATCTTTTTATATTTTTTATCTTGTAGCATTGTCAGGAATGTGACATTTATACTTAAAAAAATATACTTGTTACTTTGCTACTACTTAGCTTACCTGTGTATGGAACATGGTGATATATTTTCAAAAGTTGTGTGAAGTTTTTTATGTGTCTGTTCATTATCTAACTAATCCTAGGTTGCTGAGCCAATCTCAACCAAACTTTGTGGGATGATAGTTTGGAACAAGGGGCATGTTAATGGGGATTCACAACCCCTCCAACCCCCATTATTACTGTTATTGAGCATTTATTATCTTTGATGTAAGTTAATGTTAACTACATTCATAGAAAGCACCACGTCCTTACACCAAAAAATAATTCATTAAATGTTCTCTAACACAGCATACACATGGTATAGGAGAAGGGCACACAAACTGCCTGTATATCTGGGAGAGTGCACTCTCACACTATGGAGGAATACAATGAAAAAATGGCCACCACTATTGCAGTATATACATAAACTTAGATGAAGTTTCTATTCCAACAGCTACCATAAGGCTGATATGAAGAGCCATTTTTTGAGTTGTACCCACTTTCTACTTTGACCTTTCAATTTCAGCCCATAAGATTTCTTTAGCCAATGACTGTAAATTAATTCATCACAAGAAACAATGTGGAAGGACATTGAGAGGTAAATGGTGAAAGTGGGTAACTGAAAGCACCCTAACCGCCACTACTTTTGTTCCTACCTCTTCCTACAAAGTCACTCTGACCATTGTAGTGTGTACCATGTTTTAAGTTTATACATACCGAGTTATTAATACATATGCAAAATATTTGGTGAGGTAATAATGAATACTGTAATAAAATGTTATGTTGTAAACAAATTGTGTGAAATTTAAGATTTTTGTTATTTATCATGGCATCTACCCCCACATTTTTTTAAGTTCATAACCCATACAAAGGACGGGTACCTCAGCTTATTGATTATAATTTTAAGCTTGTATCTAACATTTTTGTTTTTTTACATATTAAAGACTTTTCTGGGTGCTACTATAGCGTGAGGTCTACCACACTATAGCATGAGGTCTACCTCCCGTTAGTACTATAGCGTGAGGTCTACCACACTATAGCATGAGGTCTACCTCCCGTTAGTACTATAGCGTGAGGTCTACCA